ACATATATATATATATATATGTCCCATAATGGCTGGAGACGGCTTGAATGGGTAATGAAGAAAACCTGTAATATAACAGCAAATCTTCAATGTTTCGACAAGGTTTTGTCATCATCAGGTACCTTGTCGAAACATTGTACATTTGCTGTTATATTAAAGTTTTTCTTCATTACCCTTTCAAGCCGTCTCCAGCCATTATGGGTCATATATATATATATGTGACACTTAAGGTTTCTAACGTTGCATATTAATTAGCCAATTTATTTTTCTTATCTTCTGTCCTTATCATTTTTGTTTCTCCCCTCCTTTTATTTCTTTTTAACTTGATAGGAAGATGTAACTTGTTAGTTTTTTTGTTTTGGTATGCTGCTACTAATATCATATAGGTACCTCAGAAAATCAGTGTTCAAGATAAATTATTGCTTAGATGATCATTGGCTAAAAACTTTGAATACATTTCTAAATTTCAAAAAGCCGATTTATTGTTGTAGACGCAGAAGTATTGACTAACCATACATCTTAAACATTTTTGGGTAAATTATTCTTTATTGTATAAATTATTTCAAATTTCCTTCAGGATTTTAACTAGTTTACCAAATCAAATTAAAAACCTATTTTGCTGTCTTCAGGGAAAAAAAAAAATAAGATTTAAAAAGTTCTGTTTAATTTAAACTAGTTAATATTTGTTTTTCTAATTTTGCTAAACTGTTGATGATAGATAGAACAGTATGGATGAATGTATAATATTACACAGTTTGATTTCATATATTCATAAATTCTTCACAAATCTTTAATATTTACTTTTTGTTTTGCAGGGATTTGCATCACATGTTATTTCTACAGTTTCAGAATGGATACTTGCATTGGCTTTTGATTTGTATTTTCTATCTTTTGTTCGAGAACTCCAAAACATTACAATGGCCTCACCTAAAGTAAGTTACTTAGTCAATACTCTATAAACATCACAACATTTTCTGTACTGAGATTACCAGCAACAGTTTTTTTTTTGCCATCACTGAACACAAACATGCGTCAAATCTCATGTAAATGTTCTTTAGAAAAGTAATGGTAGTGCAAGAATGTTTATGACTAAGCCTAAATTTATAATTATTTTTAATAAAGCTGAGCAAGTAGTGGAATTTTCTAATCAATTAACCAATCGATCAGCTACATACAGTTGATCAATTCTTCTCACATGACATTAATCTTCCTATTTGCAATTTTTTTTCTAAGACATTTATGAACCACCATTCTAGTATGATAGACATCTTTATGTACAATAATTTAGGACTAAGCTACTTTTTAATCCTAAACTGATGTACGTGAAAATATACGATTAGTAAAAACAACTGTGACAAGCTGAAAATCTAATTAACAGCATTCTGTAGGTTTCTTGATACAAATTTCCACAAGACTACTGAAGTAAAACTACTCAGTTTTTGTTATAGAAAATAAACATTACTTTGTGACATCTTCAAAAAACTTTGTAAATAAAGTTAATCAAGTTCATTATCTCAAAAATGAAATATTTTATAAAGACATGACTAGTTGCTTAATTTTTAGTTAATTGAACATCTGTTTCATTGTTGGGAAAAAAAAGTGTTTTCCAAAACACGTCCAATATATGAGATTTGACAAATAATATTTATTTTCATAGAAATTAAAAGTTATTAGTTGCTAGAATTGTTTGACCATTAACACACACATCTTTTAATGTGTACTCTTGTTCTGTTTTAACAAATAATTTTCTGTCCAATGATGAAAAATATCCTGAAACTAGTCATGTTCTTTTAAAATCTTTCAGTTGTGAATTTTTTCAGGGTAGTAAAGTTTAATAACCTTATCTAAGATGTCTGAATACCCACAGAAGAGTACTACATTATTTATATGATGTTCTTTTTAATTTTTTCAGGGTAATAAAGTTTTATAACCTTATCTAAGATGTCTGAATACCCACATAACGGTACAACATTATTTAAATGATGATGTTCTTTCTGACATTGATTATCAATTAGGAAAGTACTAAATATAACCATGAATGGTGAGATTACTATTTGATACAGATTAACATAAGTTACATATGCTCAGTTCTTGGGATTGAGTTTATAATTTTATAAGAACACGGCTGTTTTAAGCCAATCAATCATGTGGTGATGAACAGGATTTACACAACTGTATTTAAATGATCAAACACATGGATACCGAAGGTACACCTTCACTGTACAAAGAGACTTCTTAAAGAATATAATTATATTTGAATAAACAAAATGTCAGTTCCAAACATCTCTCTATTACATATTTATTTGTCATTGCATATTAGGCTAACTAAATAGTGTATTTGTGGCAGTATTGCCATGAAAATATAGGGGTAAGTAAGTAGAATTGTTTTTTAATTAAATATTATTACAATGAATTGTAGCATATCATTATCAAAATAAGAAATGTTTTTCAAGTACTTTTTCTGATCAAAAATTAAATTACTCTCAGTTTTTTGTAAGATCCATATCTGTTCTTTCGGCATACTTTCTTTTCTCCCAATTGTTATAGCATATTTACTTCTTGTAAGGCCTACGGGTTATATGCTAAAGTTATAAACGGTTGTCCAAATTAACTTACAATTTAAATAAACAAGGGAAATAGCAGTTGTAGTTTATATATACACCATGTTAAACTTTTATTTTAATAATTATTTATAGAATTATTATTAACTAACATAATCCATACATTATGGGTTTGTAATACAAACTACCAAAATTCAAATTATGAAATCATAATTTTCTAATCAAATAAACTAAATAAACCATTTTTCTGAATAGAAGGGTAAGTTGTATATAGGAGGAATGGAAGGGTAAGTTGTGTATAGGAGGAATGGAAGGGTAAGTTGTGTATAGGAGGAATGGAAGGGTAAGTTGTGTATAGG